AAAAAAAGGAGCAGACTCCTGGAGCAGTTAAGCTCTGATGGGTGGATTTAGACGAATGGGAGGCAGGCTAGCCTACTGGAACTGGAAGTTAAGCATGGATGATAGAACCAGGCCCCGAGACTGAGACAACAAGGGGCTGTTAGCTGGGTGAACGGAGCGAAGCAGAACAGTCAAACTGTCTCCAATTCCCTAAGCAGCAGCCATGGGATCTGAGAGTACGATCACCTACGCTAGAATGCCAGTGGGCAAGCAAGTCAGGCTGCTGGGCACTTGCCCCGCGGCCGTCTCTGGGATCACGTTACGTACAGCTAGCTATATTGTCTCCCTTTTTACTCTTGCCTGATGATGCTAGAGCGGTTGAGTCTTGATGAGCTGATACTGTGTACAGTGTTTCTGACCCTGTGGCCCTGTCTGTGTCCGGGGACTGCATTAGCCCCATTGTCTCCCTTTTTGCTGTGGCTGTATTCTCATGTAACGTCCCTCTCTCTCCGGGAGCAGTTGAGATCTGATGGGTGGAATTTATGTACAGTGCTATCTGCCCTGTGGCTGTCTCTGTGTGCACAGCAATTGTACGCAGCATATCGGTTTTCCATAATTGTTCAGTTTAAAGTTTTTTAATTTTAATTTCATTTTTTTTTTTTTTTTTTGCACTGGGGTTGCCTGGGATCTGCCCAAACAGTCCTATTTTATTGAAAGAAACTGCCCAAGGAAATAAAAAAGTAACCTCTAAATAGTAAATATTGGGTCAAAAGGTCCACTGCAACGGTTGCGCGTTACACCCGTCCAGTCTACTAAAGTGCCGACCAAACCGTGCAAGATGTCGTACATCACACGGCTTTCCAACTTGAGTAATGAATAACCTCATGCATGATGGATGACTCCAATCAGGTAGTTGCCCGATATCATACAGTTACGACCCTGGCCCTTGAGATAACCATGTTCAAGGAACTCGACAAAATGACTCCGTAACTTCGGGAGGAGTGCTTTTCTTTGCACAAACAGACAAAAGTGGCACATAACAGGGGGTAGTTTCCAGCAGGTGCAGCTCCCCACCAATAGAATGGAGCCCGTAGCCGGGCTGCTAGTGATGGATGCTCTTATCATTATCACTAGTTCACTACATTGACCATAGTAAACTCCTCCTCGTTTGATAAAGATGGAAGTCTGATTTAAACGACCAGGTACGGCATCACATTTGACACCTAAGGAAGGTACTGCCCAACTGTGAAGTACATCANGGGGGGGGTAGCGACTGTTTATTAAAAACACAGGACTCTGCCAAATGGTAATACGATGTATAGAGTCTGACACCTGCCCGGTGCTGGAAGGTGAAAAGGAGAAGTGACATAAGCTAGGAATTCCGGGCCAGACGTTCGGTTCATTGAGAGGCAGCCCGAGTGCCTGAGTTTATTGGGAAGTATTCGTTGATTTATCCATGCCATCCTTACCTTAGGCAGGCCCCATGCTAATCTTCAGTGTATCATTTCAATTTAACCCATGTCTCCAACTGCTCCAAAACCAAGACAAAACCTAACCCAGTTCATGCCAGTGTAACTTTTGGTGTGCTGCAAGACAAGTCGTTCCCTTGCCGTCTTCCCCCGAATAGAATGCACAATTATTTTATCTGTATTCCAGTCCAGATAAGGAGACAATGAAAGTACGTTCTATTCGGGGAAGGAGGTAGTCGTCTCTCAGAGAACATTTATTATTATCCAAGGTTACTCCTGGCTGGCTGGCTGGCGGGCGGGCGGGCGGGCGGGCGGGCGGGCGGGGTGGGTAACAGTCTATTCCTGGTTAACTGGAAGGGGGGGTGGCCGGTGTAAAGGGGTTTTGCTGGTGGGGTGGCTGGCAGTCTGTTCCTGGCTGGGTGGCTGGCTGGTGGGGTGGCTGGTAGTCTACTCCTGGCTGGCTGGCTGGTGGGGAGGCTGGCACAAGCAGGTTTGATTAAAAAGGGATTTGGGTTTTCTTATAAATTGCATGACATTTTTTTCTGAAAATCTGGGCCTCCATTAACCGCCTCTTGTGGCCGGCAGTCTACTCCTCCCTGGCTGGCTGGCTAGCTGGCTGGCTGGTGTGGTGGTCGGCAGCCTACTGCTGGCTGGCAGGGTGGCCGGTGGCGTGGCTGGCAGTCTAAGGATGAGGGGAAACCAAGTCATACCTGGCAGGTAATTATACCATGAAATATCACAACCGGATGGAAACCGAGCGGCCTTGGAGATTTCCCAAGAAGTGTTATGCTGGCACCAGCCACAGTCGCGGGGCATACAATAAAGACAGAGAAATCTTTAGGGTCCACCAGCACAAAGACGTGGCCATCAAACACGTCCCACAGGATCATCTCTGGTGTCCCTGAGAACTCCGGCACAAGCATGATCTGCCAAATCCAGCGAACCAGATCGAGTCAAGCAACCAATCAGGTGACGGTCAGATGGAAATCACACACCATTAGGGATTTGATCCAACATTCCACACCTGATGATCAGGAGCAAACATCTCCCACTGAATGCTTCTGAGCTTTCCAGAAAAAAAAGGGGAAGATGAGCAACTGCCCGCCCCCCCCCCCCACTTCTCCCCTCTCCCTAGAGTCCCTACCCCCTCCCTTGTAAAACATTATATCAAAGTCTCCAAGATTTTCACTTTCCTCATAGGGCATGCAAGACAAGGAGAGAGGTGCAAAGCAGATAATGCTATGATCCTGGTCAACTCTCAAAGCAAAAGCTCACAAAGCGAACAACAACGCCATTCCAGTGCAACTCAAATGAAAGAGATAGGAAGAAGAATTGAGACAAGGGAGGAAGAAGAATTAAGAATTGAAGAAGAAGAAGAAGAAGAAGAAGAAGAAGAAGAAGAAGAAGAGAGGATAAACACAAGTTGAGACCAATGTCACCTCTCTCTCTCATCTCACCTCCATCACCTCGCCCTCATCCCCCCTCCATCATTTTATTATATCAATAATAATAAACAACAATGACTGAAAGAGCCAGAATCAATGTCCGCCCTTACTGCCAGCACACAAAGAGCCCTCCTGTCAGCTGTAATCTCACTCTTCCTCACTTGGTGGCATCCCCTAGCTATGGCATGTCATCCATTTGCATCACGAATGTTCAAAGGACAACGTGACCTGTACTATGCCTCTTCCATTTCTTTCCGTCATAGCCACACTCACGGACAAAGTCCCAGCTCAGTCGGCACCCACACAGGGGCCTTCTAGATGCAGCGCAAACCAAGAAAGTGGAGATGAAGATCCGCCATAGCCAAAGGTAAGTTGCATTCTCGGTTCCCGCCTCCTTCCTCCTCCTAGTCTATTGCTCCACCATAGCTGGCTGGTGGGCCATCACCCTCATCTCCATAGCCTAGTCCTATCTCTACCACCGCCCTACTACTCCTCCATTACCATGGAGGGCTTCACCATCACCCTCCAGCTCCCCGCCTTCTCCTCCAAGTGCTCCGCCAACATCCTCCTTTGGGCAGAGCAGCATAATGCTCACTTGAAGAATGAACCGAAGCGTCCAGCCCAACTCGTTGGACCGACTGATATACTTTGGCTGCCTGGCCTCCAGTACCTATTGGCCGGACACTTTCCAGCACTACCCAGCCTCCCCTGGCGCACTCGGCCTACCAGGTGTTCCTGCTTTTTGGTGGGAACATAATTTCAGCCCGCAACTTGGCCTCGGGCAGGGTCTGTGTCTAATCTAACACCCTACGAGGTACATGCCTGAACACTTATAATGACTCTTTTTGGCCGCTACTGAACGACCACCCACTAGGGCTACCAGTTTCCACAGCCTACCTGAGTTGCTGGAAAATCCTCCCGAGTCCCTAACTAATTCTTTTTTTTTTTTTTTTAAGTCCAGGGTGTCGTAGAGGTCGGTTTCTGGTCCCTGACCCAAGTTGCCGTTTCCTTTGCCGACGCGCGTTTTTTTTGCCGTTGCGAACTCAAAACCTGCCGCGTCCACCGTTTTTTTTTTTTTTTTTTTGGACACAAACCTTTTTTTTTTTTTTTTTTTTTTTTTTTTTTAACAAAGCTCCGATCTATTCGTGGGGAGCAGCACGTGCTGGGAACCGGGCCCAGCGTCCCTTATATTTTTGCCACGGACCTATACTACAGTGTCACTGTCTCATGCCGAAGAGTCCCATGTCCCCCTTTCACTGCTGCTGGTGCTGCTGCTGCTGAACTGCTTGAAAAGTCTGACTCTGCTGGAGCTCACCCTGCCAACCACCAGGTAATTGTCCACCAAGTTGCACCAACCCTTCTCTTATCCCACGGATCCTTCTTTCCCACGGATCTCCCCGTTTAGCACCACCTTCTTTCTTCTCAGCACCGCACAGCTATTGTGCCAACCTTCGTCACCAGCGCCCTATCAACTATTGTACTAGTCTTCTTCCCAGTGTCCCAAACTGTCATGGTTCAGGCCTCTTTCCCAGCACCCAAACTGCCATGGCACTGGCCTCTTTCCCGCTGCCCAGATTGCCATGGCGCTGGCCTTGGTCTTCTCTCACAGCTCAGCCGTTGCTGGCACTGCCTGTTGCTCGAACCCACTCCTTCCTCCCGCTAGCATCGTCCACCATGAGCACCCAGCGGTCTGTTCGCCAAACTCCACCCGACCAAGACCACTTTGACTTACCCTGGCCTTCCTTAAACCACCAGTACACGGCCATACATCGACCGTGGGCTCCTCACCGCGACTTTCGGAGGCCGGAAACGCAACTAACGCCATTGATGCCGCCTGGCCCTGAAAGTTCCGGTGCTACAGTGGGGTGGCCATGAGTTGCTTTTTCTGCAAGGCTGGGGCCATGCACTTGCGGCTTAAGTACTTTTGGGCCTTTTGGCAGTTTTTCCGTTTAGCCTGTAGACACTGCCTTACGGAGACATCCATATTGGGTCCTAGAGAGTCTGGCTGGGGCCAATCCCTGACCTGACGGGGTTTTACCCCTTTGGGCCAGTGCCCAGGGTCGAGTCGTCCTCTGCTATATGCTGGGAGGACCTAGGGTCCTCACTGTTGGTTCCCCATGCCTCAAACCAAGTGTGAAATGTCAAACTGATACCGCTCAGACTTCATCTGAGTTTATAAAACCTTCCATTTCCTTAACAAAACAGTTTGCATAGTTTTTATATTTAAAGCTAAAAAAGGCCAAACGTCTGACCTGGCGGTCCTGGCCCATGTGGCCGAATGGTACACACCGTTTAACTGATAACACACAAAAAAAAAAGAAAAAAAAAGAAAGAAAGAAAGATACCAAACAGATGGTGAGATCGATTCCTGCGCAGATCAGCCGAGTACATAATGTTAGGGGCTACCCCCATTTGAAGAGAAAGAAAAGAAGAAAAGGGGATCAAATTTCCAGCTTCCAGTCGCGCCTAGCACCTTTGAAAGATTTTGAAATGCTTGTTGAGATGGTACGAGGTGGATGATCAAACACTGTTCGGTTTTGAAGAAGGCAGTAGGATCAGGCGGGCCCCAATCGGGAGGGTGGGCAATACCCAAGGGATCATCCATTAAAGTCATACTCCGACGAGGACTTTTTCCATTCAGCTCTGGATGCGATTGCAGTCAGATGTATCCAGGTCCGGCCGTAATTACAGTCAGATACTTTCAGAAAAGTGCCAGTGTGAGTATGCCCTCAGTCACACCGCACTCACCTGATCATTCACTGGATTATGCAGATGAATCTGATGTCGATCGTCTTCAAACACAACCCGTGTCCCTAGCGCATTTGGCCATAACCTACCAAAGCAAACCAAGTGAAGGAGCAATGTCAAAGAAGAGACTCCTTGGCATTTAGTACATGTATGGAACAAGCATGAGATGACATGGGCAGAAAAATCCCTCCCGTGCAAGTCTGTGTCGTCTCACCTCCGCACAATTAGAAATCAGCTCCAGCCTTCAAACAAAGACTAACATTTTCTCAAACTGAAGTCATTCTACAGGATGGGTGATTTTTGAGTCGTTTTTGAAACAGCAAGATGATGATAATATCCTCTGCGTGTGTGTATGTGTGTGTGTATGTGTGTGTGTGTGTGCGTGTGTGTGTGTGTGTGTGTGTGTGTG